GAAGTGAACTTTCGATGAAACAAACTTTCGACGGAATGGGTGTCGACGAAATGACTGTCGACGAAATGATTGTCGACGAAATGAATCAGACCCTGCTTAAAAAATAAAAAAAATAAAAAAAAAAACCAAAAAGGTAAGGAAAGATCAAATTTTTTTTTAACATCAGATGAACGAATAGTGAAAAATAATTAGATTTAGTAAAATAATAAATAATATATATATAAATTAATTATTAACGATATGTATAACGTCAATCATTTCAAAGAGTAAAAAAAAGAAACATCTCAAAAAAATTGTGTTTAGTAAAAATTGATTTTTTTATCAGCTATCCCAAGGAAGAAAAAAAAGCAGTGTTACGGTTTTGAGCAATCTTTTATAAGTGTTAGCCACGTGAAATAACCTTACATATTTTGTGTCATGTGTTTATATAAGGTGATCATCACAAAATTTAACCAATAATAGTTTTTTTTTACGTGTTTGTTGTTAATAATAATAATCATGGATTCTCAAAAACCAAAACTTTTTGATACACAACGTAGATTTACTTTAGCTAGCCTAAATACAAATTCTAGAATTACTTCAGGAATACCGCGTTCCTTATCTATTCGAGGTCAAGCACCGCCATCACAATATGGTGCTTCTTTAGGCGGAAATAATATAAGAAATTCAAGCATAGCAAGGTAGGTAGTGTAGTATACATGTTAATAATAATAAAAAATAACATTGTCGATTATATGATGAATTAATAAGTAAAATGCTCCCTCCAAAAAATTTTAAAGACGTGCTACATTTGCTGGAAACTTTAAAGATCCACGTCCATTGCGCGATAAACAATATCAGGCTGAATCTATACAAGTTATTATATTATATTTAAAAAAATCAAGATATCCAGGCTCAATTGATGAAAGGAAATTGCAAGTTCCAACAGTAAAAGATTATCATAACATCTTTAGATTTTTATATAAAAAATTGGAAAATAAAGATATTCCAAAAATTGAAGAAATTTCAACAATCCTAAAAGAAATAAAGTATAGTATTTTATTATTATGTTTATCATCACAGTGTTATTATTATTAAGATTTAAATATATTTTATGGTGTATGTGCATGCGTTTATTACAGGTATCCTCATGCTAACGATGTTAGTAAGTCTGCATTACAAGCTGTTGGAAACGTACATACCTGGCCAGCACTTTTAGGTAATTTATAATAAAATAAAATATATATGTGTGTGTGTGTGTGTGTGTGTGTGATTATTTATATATATCTATTTATTTATCTAAAGGTGCATTGAGGTGGATGGTCGAATTTTTAATGGTAAAAAAAAAAGCAAATACAATTATAAAATTATAAAATCATAATTATAATTATTATTAATTATGAATTTATAAAATTAGACTATTGAAAATCTTGATGAACCAAATTATGATACAGGAGATGGAGGAGAAATTGATAAAGATCTTATATTTTTCAATTATGTAATTAAAGCCTATGGTATCTATTTGAGTGGCGGTGATGATTTCTCAGAGGCAGAACAAGAAATAGTTGCTGTTTATGGTAATTCATAAATTAAGAAATTACTTTTCAACAGAAAGGAATTTTTATACATTAATCATTTTTCCTTTTTAAATATATTTTTTTAAGAACGAAATAATTCTGAAATTATAACCAAAAATACGAATTTGCAAAATGAAATTAATGAATTAGAGAAAGAACTAACAGAGTTGTTGCAAATAGAGGTGATTAATTAATTAATCAAATAATATAATCTCAAATAGTCATGCATATATTATATTCTATGTAAATTTAATTATCCCTTTGTCATTAGGATCCATTAACAGCAGCAAAAAATGAAAATGAACTATTGAAATCTGATCTGTTAAAATTTCACTCTTATAGTAGTCATTTAGATGATAAGATTGGTAAACTTAAAGATAATAAAATTAAACTAGAAGAAGAATATCAAAAAATGGGTAAAATCATCATAACTATTGTGTTTTATTTTCATTGAAAACCATGATTACAATAATTAAAATTCCTCCCGTTATACTTTTATTCTTTACAATAATAATAATTAGTGAAGGACTTGGAGAAACTTGAAGAAGAAAAAATAGAAATTCAAAAAAAAGTTGATAGTCAACCAATTTCACCTGATGATTGTGAAAGAATGCATAAAGAAAGTGAACAAATTACCATTCAACGTAATAAGATAGCTGACGGAATTAAAGAAATGAAAAAATCGGTATGGAATAAACAAGTAGAATTTGACGAGAAGAATATAGAAGTATATAAATTTTTAATAGCATATGTGTGTGTGTGTGTGTGTGTGTAATTTTTTATTTACTTTATAATTTAAAAATTTTTTTTTTGGAGATTGAAAAATTGATTCATTATTACAATACCAATATTCAATGTCTTGGATCCGATGGTAAAAAATATCAATTATCATTTAATCAAGATTCAAATCAAATTGAACAAATGATTTCATTAGATTTGAGAAATGTAGTGAGAGTAAGTTTATATAAATGCAGGAGTATTTCTATTTACATAATTATATATATTTAATTATAAATCTTATTTTTTTAAAAAATAGCTTAAATTGTTAGAAGTAAGTAAAAAAATTAGTAGTGAACGAGATAAAACTCAAGAAAAAATTACACAAGTTAATGAGGAGATTTATCATCTTAATGATGAAGCACAAGATAAGGAAAGAGATTTGAGTATGTTAGAGGAAACCATAAATGTACTTTCGCAACAATATGAACTTGCTATTTCGGTAAGCGTAGATTGGTTTTTTTTTGGTAGATGCCTGATTAAATAATAATAATAATGTTTTTGGTATTAGACTGAACAGGCTGATATGGAAAGATATACAAAAAAATTAGCAATATTTACTCAATTAACAAGTCAATTGGAATCCGAAAATAATTCAATTGTTGGTGAATGGAAAGATAAACGAGAACAATCACAAATTCAGTAAATGTCATAATCATAATTATTTATTATTATTTTGCCTCTTAATAATAATAATAATAGTAAAAAATTGATAATTAATTAATTAATTAGATATGATCAAGTTCAACGAGAAATTAATTTGGCTCGAGATCAAGCATTTGATGAATTCAATATCATCAGAAACATTCATACTCAAAAATTACAACAATTAACGAAAGTTGCTGGTTTTTTAAAGAATTTAACAGAAATGGATCTCCAAGAAGTTAACGATTTTTAATTGGTTTTTTTTACATGGGCACATTATAAAAAATTTATAAACCTGGTATGTTGAAAGTCAACAATAATAATAAAACAGGTTTGCTGCCAGCCAATATTACTACTACTAGATCCATTATTATATGAATATTTATTTGATTTGATATATAGTGAATTTATTTCATAACTGTTGTCAATAAGATATCACTTTACAATAAAAAAGAAAACGATAATATGTTACCAATTTTATTGTATAAAGTGGGATGATTTCTAAGCTAAAATTAATCCTTGCGGCGAATTGTATATGAAAATCGTTACATCATGTGATTTTTATAACATTGCGACATCAAGGATATCATCGCTATGTTGGGATAACCGCGTGGCGCAACATTTGATGGATCAAAAAAAATTTTATTATTATATTATTTAACTGATCACTAGTAAAATTTTCTTTTAACCTAGGTAACTAATTAATGTAACTATTATTACTTTTTGATCCACCAGTAAAGCCTCCCCTCATTCTTCTCCTTTCACCCCTTCTACTTCGTCATCATTTAATGCAAATAAATACATCTTCAAATGTAGTGTTTTGTTTCAATTTTTTGTAGCAATCAATATAAGGAGTTTTTAGTTAAAGAAATCCGTCAAAGACACCAGAGCCAGATGAAATACGTGAGGTTTTAAGATAACCAGCCATCAGGAAGAAAGTGGTGTCGGTCTGTTGGAAGGTGATTTAATTATGAAAGAAAATAATAATAATAGTGATGATAGCATTAGTGGTAATGATGATGGTGCTTACGATAGTGAAGAAGAAGAAGTGGAGGAGCGAAACGAAGAGCCAGTTTGCCGTCGATTTCAAGGACGGGTCAGCATTGTCTGACGATATAAACTGGACAAATGAAGAGACCTCAAATATAATTTAAAAGAAGATTAAATTGTGCTGGACTTCACGGACTGGGAAAGAACCGAACCATGGTTGGTGAAGAACAAGGTAAAGTGATTGACTATTTAATGTTGAAATTAAAACAAAAATGTAAGTAATGATATAGATAAATGATTGATGATGATTATTTTTTTAGTCAAGAGAATTAATAGATGTATTTTTTTAACATGTTTAAAAGGATCAGTTGATGGTGTGAATGTATTATTGTTTCTTTACCAAAATTCAGTGATGATTTGTCTAGACAAATTAACCCTACATTAGAAAACGGACAAAAATTACACATCCTTGTGTGTGACTCATGATGAGTCAGTCCACCTTTTATGCCAATGATGGTATAAAAAAAATATGCCTACTTGAACATGAACAACCATTAATTCCAAAGGTCTTGGTTATGGTATTAAAAGCTTTTGAAAGTTACAAAAATGGCTCAGAAATTCCCAAAAGTGTAAAGGAATTGAATTTATATATAATATTTGTTATTTCAATTTATTTATTGTACTTACTAATGTTTATTATATTTCTTCCATTAAACCTATCATGGTAAATCAATTCTAATGCCTATTGATTGGATTACCTCCAGAAAACACTAACCTTTTTTACCAGGTATATTTTTATTAATTTAGCAAAAGTATTTATCAATAACACAAAAATTTTAAAAACTATATTTACGCATTGTTTTACCGAGACAGTTTAATTTAAAGGGAATTTAACTAATAATTATGACGATTTACTTTTTGAATGCTCTTCAAAGAAAAAAAGGTTAAACTGACCGACCATCAGACCCAGGGATGATTAAAAAAAGAAGGACAACGTTTCACATATGACATATTAGATTATTGTTAGAATGGTGGTTTTTACATTCCTTAGAATTGCGGTACAAAACTACCGACTAAAAGGCCTATTGACACCTTTCCCATATTCAAGGCTTTTCAACCCATTTGAACAATGTCCCTTTGGGTATTGAAAACAGCACTTGCATATGTGTGGAAGGTGTTTGTGCAACCACTTTTCTTTGAGGGTGCTCCAATGAACGAGTATAAAATGAAAACTCTCATCATCTGATTCGGTTGACGGTTTAACGGAGTAAATTTACATTAAACTTGGCTCTTGTAAACCATTATCAATCCCTAATAATAATAATTTTTTAATAATAAATTCCCCAGCTTAAATTTTAACCGCGTTCAATCAAACAATGTTTAGATTTAAAACCATGCTTGGCTTGAACCATTTACGCCTTGTGGCGTGAAGTTCACTTTTCCGGTTTGTTTGTGAAATGTCACACGCAACTGGTATCATACGTATTATGAAAATTTCGGAAAATATATATAATTATTATTACTGACAAAACAATAACCCCAATCTCTATATATATATCTCTATGACTATAGTAGTGAACAAAGAAACACATATATAGAGTGGGACTTTAATATTGATATGATGTTTATAAATAACATTTTATTCCTTTTTTTAAAAAAACCAATTTAATATTAAACTCCGAAAAGACCTTTAATAAGTGAAATTAATCGAAGTTATCACGAGCATCACATGTTTTAATTAGTATGAATTTTCGGATAGTGCAACAAAGAACAAAAAAAAATAAATATTAATAATATTTACTATTATATAACTACTTCTGCTTCTTACATTTATATTATTATTATTGTAAAAAAATATAATAACAAGAATGTCGTCATTACCAGCATCGTTTCCCGACTCTTTACCAATTTCCCAAGAGCGTCTATCGCTTTTGAATCGTTTTAAGAATGAAAGATTAGGGAAGCTCAGACCAATAAGTGAATTCTTTGATAGAACAAGAATTTCAAAACCAAATGGCATGGGGGGTAAGCAAAGAATAAGAATAATAAAAATATTTTATTGTGTATGAATAATAACAAAATAATATTCCAACTAACATATAATTTTATATTTATAATTGTAATGTATGTTTATCTAGACATCACTCAACGTCTTTCCTATAATTTGACACATTTCCAATCAAATTATATTATTATTATGCTTGGTTTATTGGTATATTGTCTGTGAGTGATTTCATTTAGTTAACAAATGAATAAATAAATTTGGTTTTTGAAATTTACAAAATAATAATTTTCTAATTTAATTTCCAATATAATAAAATAAATAAATGTATTTATTATAGAATCACAAATCTTTGGCTTCTCTTCACTATTGTATTCATGATTTTTGGATTAAATTTTATTAGTAAATTAAATCCTGATGAACCATTCGTTTTTCAAAATCAAGTTATCACTCAAAAACAACTATATGTTGGTTTAATTGGTTTTTCTATTCCTCTCTTATTCATATCATCTGCTGGATCTGCCATCTTTTGGATTGTTGGTAATTATCATCATTATCATTATTTTGTTTCTTCCAAAAGTTATACATTTATTAATTTTGGAAAATAAATAGGTGCTTCTGCTACATTGATATTGGGTCATGCCGTATTTCTTGAACCTGGTATTGAAGGAGGTTTCTCGTCACCTGCAAACCAAGTTTAAGATAATCCAATTAGACAATAATCAGATTTATTATTTTTCTCTTTCTACACGCTCCCTTTTTGTACATTGAGAGAAAGAGAGTGTGTGTGAGAGACCTTAGTATAAATGTACTACATATTTATAGACAGTTGTTTACACTTTTGTTACGGATTAACCAATTATCCCTTCTCAATTATTTAATTATTTATTTTCTTTATATGTTATTATTATTATATATATAGATATGTGTTACATTTTGATGTTGGTGAAACGTGACGTAATATACATATAAAAAAAATAAAATATTATTATTTTTACGATCCTTATAATTATTAATCTACGATTTCTATAAGTTTTCTGATCTATAGATTTTTCAATATTAAAAAAACAATTTTTTTGGTTCCATTCACTAAATTTCTTTTTTTTACTTTTATTATGACTCAAAAACGAAAAAATTTAGAAATAGCAATTTCGACAGATTCAATCAAACATCGTAAAAATGATGCATCGATTACAACCTACACTTCGAGTGATATTAGTTTACAAAATAAAAAAAATATTCTCGTATGGTTTAGAACAGATTTACGAATTCAGGATAATCCTGCTCTTTACAAAGCATCTTCATTAGCAACAAATAATTATGTTTTCACGCTGTTTGTCATATCACCAGAAGAATGGGAATCACACGATGTTGCTCCTATTAGAGTGGATTTTTGGCTACGTAACTTGAACATTTTAAAAGAGAAATTAAACATTCTGAATATTCCGGTAATCGTCGAGAAAGTCAACAAATCAAAAAATGTTCCTAAATTTGTAATCGAGTTGTGTGAAAAATTAAATATCGATCATTTATTTGCGAATATTGAATATGAAGTAAGTTTATAATAATTAGCATGATTAACGAACGAGTTATGTACTTTACTATCAAAGCTCCGCACATTACCATTAAATATGATTTGTGTATTCAAGGTGGATGAATTGAAAAGAGATAAAGACTTATTGAGATTAGCAAATTCCAATTCTATCAAAGTTGAAATGATTCATTCACAATGTGTCGTAAAACCAGGATCAATCAAAACAAAAGTATTTATTCCCTGGAGAAAATCGTAAATTCGTATTTTTTTTTATTTTTATTTTTTCCTAATTAATAATCATCGGTGATTTTGGTTTTGATTTGATTAGGCCGGAACCCCATATACTGTATATAGTCCATTCAAGAATACATGGCTAGCTTATGTAGAGTCTAATAAATCACTTTTAGAAATATCACCTCCTCTTACAAAATCAAATGACAACAGCATCAAATCAAGTTATCCAGAGACATTCAACTATCAAATTCCTGATTCAATTCCAGGATTTGAATTGGGCAAAGAACTATCTTCTACTTCTAAAGTCAACTTTCCAGCCGGCGAAGAAGAGGCTCATGAACGTTTATCCAAATTCGTTCAATCTAGGATTCAAAAATACGAAAAAAATCGTGATATTCCTTCCATGAACGGAACATCAATCTTATCTCCGTATCTTGCTTCTGGAATAATCTCTGCACGTCAATGTATAAATGCGGCGGTGCGAGCCAACAACATTAATCTATCAATTGGTAAACCAGGCGTGGTTAGATGGATCGAAGAGATAATTTGGCGAGATTTTTATCGTCATGTTCTATTCTCTTTTCCTCACGTTTGTAAATATCAACCCTTCAAAAAAACTTATGCTAACATCGAATGGGATAATAACGAAGAAAAATTTAAAAGATGGCGTGAAGGTAGAACCGGTTATCCTATTGTCGACGCTGGTATAAAACAACTTAATAAATCTGGTTGGATGCATAATCGTGTTCGCATGATTGTTGCTATGTTTTTGGTTAAAGGTATTTATAATACATATATATATTATTGGTTATATGTATATATACAACAGCAAAACCAAGACAAAATGAATATGGCAATTTCTGTGGCACAAAATGATATTAATGTTAACAGCTTATTTTTGTTTCGAATATTCGATATCTTCCAAGGAAAAATTACGGTGAGTGCTAGCGAAAATGGTAACGTTACCGAGACAGATATAGATTATATATAACTCTTTTAATATATATATATATATTAAAATTTAAGAAGACTCTGTTACATTATTCCTTAGGTCTTGTATAGAATTTTGGGAATATTTTTGATTTTTTTTGGAACTTTGATTTTATTAATAGACAATTTATTGAGAAATGTAATATTTATTGGTGCTAAAGGACTAGAACTTGATAATAATACTTATGAGTCTGACATTTTGAAGCCTGAAATTATCTGTTCACTTTGTCTGGTTTTGCCAATATTATAGATTCATTATTATAGAATTATTGTTCATTATTAGATTTACTTATTGATTGGAAAAAAGGCGAACAATATTTTATGAAGAATTTGATTGATGGTGATTTTGCAAGCAATAATGGAGGTTGGCAATGGGTATGTAGCGTGATCAATGATAATCAAAAGATTACTAATTTTATTATTATTAATATTATGTTATTATTTCTAGTGTGCTTCAACTGGGACTGATGCACAAGTAAATATTCACATGCTTCAATACATTCGTCTAATTTAATTAATTAATGATTATTGTGATTATCATCATCATTAGCCATATTTCCGTATATTCAATCCTACTACTCAAAGTGTAAAGGTGTATTTTCTTTTTTATTATCCATTTTTCACACTTGGAAATTAGAAAATATTAATAAGCCCTTGATTCTTTAGTTTGACTCAAATGGTGACTATATACGAAGATGGTTACCCGAATTAAAAGATCTAGATTCCAAAGTTATTCATGATCCTTTTAAATTTTCAAGTAAAAAAGAGTTTGAGAAATTGGGGTAAATACTGCTCAATACTACTACTAACTATTAATTACCAATAAAACAATTGTATTGAATAATATATCATTAATAATAATAGATATCCTGAACCGATTGTTGATCACGCAGTAGCCAGACGTATTACTTTAGAAAAGTATGAAAAAGTTGCAAAAAATAAATAAATAAAATCATATCTTTAACATCGATTCTATTATACAATAAAGAGGAATATAGCATTATAATATTTACTTGACGATGAAGCTAATCAAATGAGCCTAGGTTTTGAGTATGGTTACTATAAGGTTATTTGCCAAATTTGATTTTTTATCATCCGAGTTACTATAGTAAGGATATTCGGTAAATTTTCATTTCTATTGCATCATAATCTTTATTTATGAGTTTAAAATTTCATCTTCATCTAAAAGTTTTTTCTGGACTGGAACTCGGCTCGCTCATGCGTGAGCTTGAAATACTGATTATACAAAGAAACAATATTCATCGTGCCAATAATGTATGATTGATTAGATCGATTAAAAAGAGCATATTCAAATGGCACTACGAATAGATTTACTAACAAGTAGCTTTGGTTTATTGATTTAATATTTGTTTGCAAGTCGAAACCCGTTAACTTGAATTGAGAGCGTTTATAACATACATACATGTTAATTAATTATAAAACGATTATTTCATTGAAAAAGAACGACGTTATCGATTTAATATGTTTCTTATGTTTCATCCATTAATCGATTAAGCTGATTCTATCAATAACTTGAAACGATTATTAAAATTAAAATTGATTCCAACTAAATACAGAATATTATTCATCCATTCAAAAAATGTTACCCTTAGCGAAAAAAAAATTTTTATTTTAATAATGAATTTTATATCGACTGAAAAAATAAATCGTTCTGTTATATACTCTTTCTTTAGCTATTCAAAAAAGATGGAGAACAAGTATTGTTGCTATTATTATCATCAAATAAAATCTCTTCAATTACATCATGGACTGACTATGTTAACATTGATTGGTTTTATTTTAAAAGTACACATACACATGTTCCCTCCACCTCCACAACAAATATTTCATTAGAATTAACAAATGTTTGGATATCCCGGAGGTAAACATTGATGGAAATGCAGGTTTTTGTATGTCAGGAATGGAATCGATGACAACTGCTAGGAGTTAAGATTTCAATTCTTAATGATGATATTCAATAAACGGTGAAACAATGGTAAGAGTTATTTTACGGAAAACGTTATAGTCACATATTATAAATATATATATATATGCACACTAGCTGGACAAAAGTATTTGATTACGTGTTTACACATTAATAAAAAAACCTACATAACAACATTACACTAAATTTATAACATTATGCATCTAGATTTTGGTAATTATATATTCGAAATTTCACGTTGCTAGCTTTCATGTGTCAAATTTAATAAAAAAATTTCAAAAATGTTTTTTTTTCATGATAATTTACATATGTAAACTCGATAATCCGGTCATGTGGAGGTGAGCTCATATAACCGACTTATCGAATTAATATTAAGAAAATGGGGTGAAAATTTTGGCCGACTTATCGAGTTTACATATGTATTTTGTTTAATTTGTTCTGGACGCGTGATATATAGTAAAATCAAATCTCCATTTTTGATAGCAAGATCGTGCAACCTCAAACTCCCCGAGATTTTTTATTAAATTGTTGCTTAGGTTCTAAAAATTGCAAAAATAGAGTTTTTTCCCACTTCCAAATATAGTTATTGTGCCTTAACATTTAAAGATTGATTATCCTTTGATATCTGCATCACATTATTATTACTGTATTAGATTTTACCTTATTATTATCTGTGAATTTTTTACCCGGAAATTTTTCTGGCCAATTATTTATGTCACGCGGATGAATGAAGTGATTTTGATTTACAGAAAATTTTTTTGATATATTCATAATGGCAGATTCAAATACAACAACAAATACTAAAGAAAAAGAAGAACCGGAAATGACAAGCAAAGATTATTATTTTGATTCATATGCACATTTCGGTATATTTATGTTGACTAATTAATCTATATTATTTTATGGGTTTCCATGTAATTTACTCTTTATTATCACTTATTTGTTGATTTTAAAACACCAAGGAATTCATGAAGAGATGCTTAAAGATGAAGTTCGAACACTCTCATATCGTACAGCAATTTATCAGAATAAACATTTGTTCAAAGATAAAATAGTACTAGATATAGGGAGTGGAACAGGAATCTTATCGATGTTTGCAGCAAAAGCTGGCGCCAAACATGTTTATGGAGTATGTGGCATATCGAATGATTTATTTTGATTATATATTCTGGAATCGAACCCTAACTCCAGTTACCAGTTTTTTAACATGAGGGGGTACATTAATATTTGTTTGTTTATTCGTTTATGTAGATTGACATGTCAAGTATCATTGATCAGGCACGGCAAATAATTGCAGATAATAAATTAGACGATAGTACGAATTTAATAGCATGAATTTATTGAACTAATTTAATCGATTTTCAACATGTCACACATTAACGCATAATTTAACTTGAAATATTATCAGAAATTACCCTGATTAAAGGCAAGATGGAAGAAGTAAAATTACCGGTTGACCAAGTTGACATCATCATTTCAGAATGGATGGGTTATTTTCTTTTATATGAATCAATGCTAGATACTGTCATAATTGCGCGAGATAAATACTTGGTATGTGTCATCATCATCGTATATTATTCATTAATCAATTGTTGAGATAAAAAATCATTTGTATAAATGTACGTATGAATGAATGAATGAATGAATGTATGTATGTATGTATAAGTATCTATAAAGGTTTATTTATCTATTTGTATTTTATTTATTATTTATTAAATAGAAACCTGGTGGTATGATATTTCCTGATAAAGCCACAATGTTTCTTTCTGCCATTGAAGATGGAGAATACAAAGAAGAAAAAATTGAATGTAGGAATTTATATTTAAAATAATAGAATCATTATTATTGTCATCATTATAATTACTACTTATAATTGTTATTATTATTATTATAAATATTATAATGATCGTATTTCTCTAGTTTGGAATAATGTTTATGGCTTTGATTTCAGTTCAATTAAATCAGTTGCGCTCAGAGAACCATTAGTAGATGTTGTTAATTATAAAGCTATTGTCACAAAGCCAATTGCAATAAAAGTATTTAAATTTATTCAATTTTTATTTAACCTATTATCTCACAATTAACTTTGACAATAATTTTCCCTGATAATTTTAGGAAATTGATATTAATACAGTTCAGAAATCAGACCTTGATTTTAAAGCTCCATTCACTCTAACTACACTCAGAGATGATTATATTCATGCGTTTATTTCTTGGTTCGAAATTACCTTTTCAGTGTGTCATAAACCAATTCATTTCAGTACAGGTAAGGAAATCTGTCAACTATAATTGTTATTTACCAAAGAATTCATATATATTTATTGAAGAATATATACACATTCTCTTCCTTACTCCTCTCACCAAAAAAAAAAAAAAAACTAATTTAGGGCCGCATGCTAAATATACACATTGGAAACAAACTGTGTTTTATATAAATGAGTCAATTATTGTTAAAGAAGGAGAAACAATTGCCGGGTCTTTGACTTGTTCACCTAACAAGAAAAATAATCGAGATTTAGATATTGAAATTAGTTATGAGTTTTCAAGTGATGCAGGAAACTTTTCTGAAGTGTGCAAATATAAAATGTGAGTAAAGTATTATTTTATTTTCTAATTAAAATTTTTTATTCGCAAATTCACAATTTTTAATATATGTTCTAGGAATTAGGTATTAGAATCCAACACAAATAATTTATTTTTTAAATAATATCATTATTACTTGCTAAATATTAAAATAATACATTTGTTTTTTGAAATATATAATGAATGTCTGAGCAATTTTTAATCTTGTTCCACGTCAAGGTTTAGCAATAACAATGGAGCACAATAGTCCCAACTATGCACTTTTATCATCGCGTGTAACACACTAATATCTTGACCTTTGATCATTAGAAATAAATCAGATCCCAATTTTCTAAAATAAATTGTGCAAGATCACGTGATTTCAGCAGCAATAAGTCACGTCGTGTGGTATTTCACAAAAAAAACCGATTCGAAAAACCGCCTCACCCTAATATTAATATTAATATTAATATTGATGAGAGATTGTTATTATCTGGGTGTTGGCTTCTTATTGATCGACCGGTTACTAAAATATAGTAAGACCACCCATTTGTTAATGAAATTCCAATTTAAAAGTTTTTAAGTTCATTCCAAAGGGAGGAATTTTTTTGATGATGAGATAGATGGTTTATTTTTACATAAATAATGAATGTTATTAATATAAATTTTTTTTCAATTCTACACTTGAGAGAATAAAAAACATTTAAAATATATAATATGTTTACAGAATAAAAGAATTGATTTATAATATAATAAAAAACAAATAATCAAAAAATAATAAAGAAAATTATGTTGTTAATTATATCCAATATCTTTCCCAGTCGGTATTTTAATACTACTATTATTAGTAGTAGAAAAATTTGAATTGTTGTTGTTAAACCTTTTCACTAATACTATTATTGGGTTGATCAAGAAAGATCATTACCACCAGTGTGATAATCTTCATTGAAAATAGCATGCGGCGAAGTCTTTATGCCTTTATCAGCAACTATAATTTCGAAATCATCATAGTTATTATTCTCAAAATAACAACGTGCTTTACGATTTACTGAACCCATAGTTGAAGATCTCCTCAATTTTTGCCTTTTGAAAAAAGCATCATTTTTTTCATTATAATCATTATCATTATCACTATCATTATTGTTATAATTACTGTGAATACGATTTAACTGTGCTTGTTTTGATGAATAGGTGGGTTCAAGTTTTTTCAATGGTGAGATTTTATAATCATTGTTCTTCACCAATCTAGGTGCAATATCATATAAATTTCTCATTTGTTTTTGAACTTTATTTTCATCATATGCTTCTTTAAAATTGTCTATTTTTGTTTGACGTTTCTTAATATTAGACTTTCTAATTAATAGTGCAGCAACAATGATAACAATTAAAAGTATTAGCAGTATTAAAATAACAATTAAAATTATATGCCACGGTTTAAGTCCCTTTACAGCACCATCATCATCATCATCATCACCAGTATCTGTTTCAGATTTATCATTTGCTAACTTGACAGTTATTTTGGAATTCAAAGATGTGATTGCATCAACTTGTGCAATGTCAGAAGAATAAATGATGGAATTTTTGTTATTGTTATCAGATTCAGCCACAAATAAAAGACCAGGTGGAATCTCAAGTGAAAATGGAGATGAAAAAATTTCCTTTGGAAGGTCTTTTGGAGTATAAGTATTTACGGTAAGTTGAGTAAAGTTTCCACGGAATAATGTGTTGGTATAAACATTAATGGTATCTAATAATTAATTGATTGATAAAATTATCATTAATATTGTTATCATTATAACCTTTAATTATTATTATCATCAGATAATTATTTATACACAACTTACTTGGTGCAACATTATAGGTTTTCCATGTCATAGGTGTTGAGTTACTTTGACAAGTATCTAAACCAACAACAACATCATCAATCACTGTTAAACATTTTCCATCATTTGAACTGCTTGAAAAAGAACCATCAAGATTGAATTTCCATTTTTGATTAACATCATCATTAATACAAGGACAAGCCTCGACACCAGAATTAGACTTGGTATTAAGACACAATTTGTTATCAAAAGATTCTATAAAGATTTCTGATGAACTTGATAATGGTTGAGATGGATTTACAGATATAAGATTCCATTTGGTTGAATCCGATGATAAATTTCCAAATTGACAACTTGTAAAAGTTAAAGGCATACAATTTTGTGTTAAATTAACCGGATATTGTAAACATGTTTGTGTTTTGCTATTCGTAATAAATTTGGCTAAATTGTTAAAAGAAAAAAATTTAATAAAATCATAAAACTCTGCATCATGTGATAGATAGCAAAATTTCATGTGCAACTTGCCTGCTTGCGTCTTAGTTATTACGATGAATAAAAAAGCAAATATTAAAGAGGGCACAAGAGAAAAAATTTTACTTTGTGTTTTCATTATTTTTTTTTTTTTTTTTTTTTTAACAATAATTTATATATTTTTAATTGAATGGTAGGTTATCATAAACAACAACGATAATAGAAAAAAAAAGTTATCTACAAAACTAAGGGAATCCAGTTCTCCTGTTATTAAAAAAATTTATAATAAAAAAAGAAAGAAGATTTAAAATTATATAACGTCTTTGAAAAAAAAGTACATTTATGTTACTAGAACGTATTTATATAAAAATTTTTTTTTTATAAACAACATTCGTTTAAGGAAATATTTCATTAATCTTTTACCAAATTCAATAAGATTATCCTTTATAAATGTTCATCTAATGGTGAAACAAAAACAGACTCCAACTGTTTCAGACAATATAAATGAATACATATTAAGTTAATATCAATAAGTAAATTTTTTTGAAATAATGAAAATACTCAACTACAAAAAGAGATGAATATTCCCATTTTTAAATATAGCGTGTATATTTATCTCGTACAGACGACTTTTGGGGAGAACAAAATGCTAGTGGTGAAAAAAAAAACCACGATCAAAATGGACAAAATAGAAAACTCTAATTTGGAGGTATAATACTACAATTGTATTCAAAAATGGAAATAATATCTACCTCTCTTTTTCGTAGACTTGGTTACGTTACGAAATTATTAAAAATACGTATTCTTGAAATGTAGCTAGTCCGAAAAAGAGTGTTACTTTTGATATAACATTTCATAAAAGATTTGAGAGATATACCCATGGTTACTCTTCGTAGTAACTCGTTATAAGAAATTAGAATATAAGAACGATATCTAATAACCGTGATTGACATGGATATTTGTTAAAATCAAAATTTTATATAAAATCTTGAGAACTTAAAAATCTTACATTGGTATATAACCTTTGGGATCTGCTATTTTCCCATCATTAGTTGTAATATAATATATGAGTACAGAGCTGTTTTTTGTGAAAACAAATGTCGATGGTGAAAAACCATGGTCATATTGCAGCAGTCTTTGCTCAATACATATTTTTTTATTATAATAAAAATTGTACTCATAAACTAGAGGTATTATATTATACATACTATCATGAACTAGTTACGTTACGAAATTATGTGTTTTACAATTATTTATAAGGGCGTGAAAATTTTTGGTAAATTGAATACAATAGCAAACAAAATGGGCCAGAAAGAAATAAACACTGAAAACAGTAATATATATGCATTTTTTCTTTAAAAAATTATGCAAATGCATTTTTCTATTTCTGCCCAAATCTTCAAGTAAAAGTTATTGGGTGAATGAGAAGGTGAAGAAAGAATATTGTTAATATGATCGAGCATTACAATATTCAAAACCTAGATTATGTAAATTTTACGTCCTAATAATTATTTTTCTATATTTTATGTTAACAATATTTAACAAAGATAGTTGCCTTAAAAATTTGTTTCTAAACAAATCCTTTAAATATTCGAACATCACCCACACATCGGAATTTACTGACTCAATGAACTTTTGAAGCCCGGGCAACAAATTTTTGTTTAAAAGCCCAATAACGGCAAATTACAAGATAAGTTAAAATAAAAAACCATTAATGGTAAGGAACAACGATATTAGCATGAAAATTTTTAATTTTTGGGTTAGAACAAATGTTGGACACGTTTCATGATTTTATATTTATATTAGTTTGTTTCCATTATTATTAAAAATAGCGAATATTATTGGATAATGATTGATCTTAATTAATATACTAATATATTAATATATCAATTAATTAATCAAAGGACGAATTGTTTTGAATTATGATTTATTTGATTTCCAGTAGAGCTATTCTTTACCAGCTTCATTTAAGACTAATTTTTATTGGTTCTTCTTGATCGCTGTTATCACTTTCAAGTAAGTCCATGTCCAACTACGCTTTTGTCTGTTTGGTCTTAACGGTGGTGGTTGCTCATTTGAATACAAATCAGCCATGTTTCTCGGCCAAAAAAGAAATTATTGTACATTTAAACAACAATATCGGATATTTTTTATAAAATAAAAGAATGCATTGATTTTTTTGTTTTATAATCATTCGATACAAAATTCTTAATATTGATATTGATATAATAATAATGGATAACTAACGGATAGTCCCTTTTGCCCTTTTGTTTCATTAATATCAGTCATTGTATATGTACAGTCAAGGCTCATTATGTGGACACCCGATTCCAGACATTTTTGTCACTATAAAGAAAAAGCATTGATTAAATCAGTCAGCGAATAATTAAATCATGCAAACCTTGTAAAAGCTTCCTATCCCCGTTTGAGGTTTTCTGTGAGTCTATCACATGCAATGAACCTATTTTTAACAACTTCATCAGTAGTACTGTTATTCTACCCGCACTTTTACAATAAGAACCGTTGCCGCTTAGTAAGAAAGTTATGTTCGAAGGAATAGCTTTGGTGGCCTTCCCTTCTTAGAGGTTGGAATCGACTAAAATAGTCGACTAATTAATCGACTACTAATACTACTAATACTAATACTAATACTATGCTAATATTATTATTGTCTGACCAATTACATTTTTGTGTTTTATCATTCAAAATGGAAAATTTCTATGCGGAAGAGTATCAATACCATCAATATGATGATGACGACAATAGTAGTGGTGTTGTTGATGATAATTTTACATGAGAATGAATAAACACTTCCAATACAAGGTCCAATAGTTCATTCCAATTATTTAAGCGGTGGTTCCAGAAGATCTTTAAAAAAACGAATCGTAACACATGGTTTTGTGTAGAAGCATTTTGAAAAAGTGAAAAGATTCAAATGGTAATTTGCAAATTGAAAAAAAAAAAAAACGAAATATTATTATTATAAAAAAAAATTTAGTCGACTTATTAGTCGATTAAAGAAATTTTTGACCAACTAGTAGTCGACTAAGGATTTTTTGGGCGATTCCAACCTCTAAGTATCCAAAATAATTACGAGTATCTAAATCGATTTTCGAATATTCGTAAAAAAATTGGATTTTCAGTTAGAAACACTATATCAGACTGTGTCAATATTTTGCATTTGAGAACAGAACTGTCAATTTTTTCTTGTTATATTTAAACTTAAAACTATAAGACGACCAATATATTAGAGACAACAAAGTTTCTTTATAAAAATCCTTTCATACAAATGCAACAATTACTCTTTTGCTGGATCATTGTTGCAGTTCTCCATTTTTTGACTGATGGCGATTATGTCAGAGGTGACAGTTGTATTCGAGGTAGTGTCAGTAATTATGTTAGTCGCAAGGATTGTGTCGGAAATAAGGATTGGTGGTTATACGTGAGGTATATATTTTTTTCCAACACTTGTATCGCTTGTTGTTTATTTCCACAATGGTTCTGCAAGCCCATACTGGGAACCATTGGCACCATTGACACCATTGGCATCACTCCAGACACTGTTTTACCATTCCAGGCACTAGTGCAATTGCCAAAGTGTCTGTATTTTTTTATTTGGTACTAGTGTTAATTCCCAAAACTATAGAGTTTTGCAGCTGTGCAAAAGTCAAAAGGTTTCGCCATAATTCGAACTAGTTTTGACTTTTGATTTTTGATTTAGTGTTGACATATATAACTTTTAATTTTAGTTTTGACTTTCGTCTCTTTAAAATAGTTTTGACGGCCAACACTACTTGGCACCAATGCATCTGGCCTCAACATTTAGGCACGTGCTTGTCATACCCACTGCAACTGAGATATATAATAATACAAAGAATCACAAATTTTATTAATTGACACTTTGTATAAAAAAATGGTACTTTACTTTAGTATTATAAATAATATAATTTTTTTGCGTTATGGAACAAATGTCAAAGAACATATCTATACATTTTTTTTTTTTTAAAAGAAAAAGTTTTTTGCGTTTGTGTAAATTATTTTTTAATTGGAGTTTCTATTCGAATAAGAATTATTCAACTATTCACAAATGATTGAACTTTAATAAAACTGTTTTAAAACTTCGAAATCAATTCAAAACTCTAAAAGCAAAATGTGCTTCATATGAGAAAAGGTACAATTAAATCTTTTACAAAACGAAATCGAAAATAAATATTTTTCACTTATATTATTTCTTAAAATATAAAAAGTATTTGTATGTCACCACTATATCGTGATGTGATTGAAAAAAGGTCAATTCACTTAAAACTTTGTTATTATGTTCAAACTAAATCCGAATTTTATTGAGGAAAAAAAAAGCATTTTTACGAGTCTTCACATGTTCTACCCTTAAAAATAAAGAACAAACAAGAAAACTGGCATGGAAACCAACATTGCACATCAATTTAAAGAGTCAAAATTTATATTAATATTGTTATATTTTATTTTTTATATTAAATGACAAATTATTAAAGTTGTTTTGCATTTAATTGAGAAATTCTACAATAAAATTTCTGGCCTTCGGCAAAATTGAATGATTTTGATAATTTTTTTTTGTTGTGATTAACTTTCTGAAAAATTATTTAGACGTATGTAAATATAAATATAAATACTTGAAATTTTCTTACTTCAAGAATGATCTGACTATAGATAATATTTTGAGATAACTCAACGAGTTTTTGATTAAATGCTATCACCTAAATATCCCAAGCATATATATTTAGAGATTGTTAATATGTATAAAATAAAGAAAAGTCAAAAGTCAAAACGAGTTCAACTTATGGCGAAGTCCCGCGTGATTGCGAAACTCTATAATTCTGGACACTATGTTTTATCATCAACTCACATTCTATTCATCACATTATA